TGTGTGTGTGTGTGTGTGTGTGTGTGTGTGTGTGTGTGTGTGTGTGTGTGTGAGATTGCACTCGGAGCAAGAGATAACCCCTGAGAGTGGCTGGATTCCTTCAAGCTCTCGATGTTGTGAATGCACACGAACATTAAGAAAAGAACTAAGGAAAAACATAAATACTTTAGAAGTAGGTCAAATACGTATAGTTCCTGTGTTGTTGTGGATTTCAAGGTTATGACTGCTGGGTGATTGGGGGATTAACAGTTCCTGTATCCACATATATTCTACACACTTTAGCCCCATCCCCCCCTCCATGGAAAGCCAACATTAGGATTAATGACTTTGTTTTTGCTCCCGTGGTGATAATCTCCTTCAACGCTTCAATAGCATTAGCCTGCCACTTTTCCATTTTGAACTGTTCCGGAAGAAAGTTGTCCAATAAAATACCCTTTAACTCCCCCAGCCTTTGCACCGTAACCCCGATTCCAGATTTTCTGCCCATTTTTCTTGTTTTATACCCGCTCCGTGTCCTTTTCATCCCCCTTCACACCTGTTTGGAGACGTTTTTTCCCGGAACTCTACCTAAACAATGGACGACAGCCCGACATCTGGAAAAGCTGCCTGTTGCCTGAGTTAATTTATAGCTGTATGCCATTTGACAGGCCTGGTCTGTGAGGGGTGTGGTGGTGGCTAAATGAAAGTAGAGAGTAAAAGTGAAATGAGGTCCCTTTGTCGTAGAAGATATGGTTGAAATGAAACCAGTTGAAAAATGCAGAATGGATTAGTGTGATCTCTTGTAATTAGAGAAGGTCTGTATAACCAGAGCTTTGGCTAAATAATAACAATTGTGCTATAAATAATAATTTTCACACACCAGTCACAACCATCATCTCTCTGCTGTCTACATGCAACATTTAATCTATTGAGTCCTAAACAAGAGATGAAATCTCACAGTCTCTCACGTCTCAAGATTCTAAAACTCATCTGTAAAAAAAAAAGTAAAATACATCAGGATTATCTCTCCCTGTCTCTGGGTCAGACGTGTCCACAACAACTGGAGAATATCCAGAAGATTCAGGTGAAGGGTGACGTCTGGGTAGAGCAGCAACAGGCAGGACTTTCTGGATAATGTCTGGACTTCAGCGGATGTTTGAAAGCAGCTTGAGTGCCAGAATATTTCTACCTTTAAAAAATAAAGTTCCACTTAATTGAGTTGAGATATTAAGTGTTTTATTTCCCTTCATAGTTTAATTCAGTTGAATTCACACTGTGAGTGTCAGGGGATTCAAAGGTTTTCTTTTGTGACCTTTTTAACTTACTTATAATTCAGCTGTTTGTTTGCGATCTTCTAAATCAAGGCCGTGTCAAAGTGTAAAAATGGAACACGTGTACATTGCGGTGTGAGTTTTCTTGTGTTCTCGATTGTTTGCGACAGACGACATATGGATCCTTTTTCCTGTCAGACGCGGTTGTTCATTGTTTCACCCAATGTGGAGGAAAAGCTATAATAGCATTAGATAACACTTGAAGCGGACCTGAGGGAACTGTGAGCACAACGATAGAACACCCTCCTGCTGTCTCGCACACAATGAGGAGCATTCATCTCTCCAGATGGACTCTATACATTTTGAAAGGAAGGTGAATAAAAAACAGACTCCACCTGTGCCTCTGGGTACTTATGACAGCTTCAAGTTTGAAACATCTGCACATCTCACAGCTTTTTTCTTCTCATGAAAAATGTGCAGAACAACAGAAAGGCTCCAGAGTCTGTAACTGTGCACAGAGGCCTCCTGCATTTACCGGGGAAGCCTCTTCTTGCCCTGTGCTGTCATTGGCTCGGTCGCAAAACTAGAGCAGATACACAAATACACCCGTCACGAGACGCACATACACACATACATGCTCACATACATAGACACACGATAACCGTGCTGGAGTGTTTTCAGGCTATTAATACTCCTCGGTTGAAGCCTATCCTGTTAAAGGCACATGCAGCCCCCTCCCCCTCAGAAATCTTCGTAAAGCTTGAAAACGTATTGTATATGAAACGTGTCTCTCTTCAGCACTGAGAGGGAAATGTGACGATCCGTGTCGTAGGTTTAAAGTTTCATTTAAAGTTATAGTTTAAGTTATTGGTTGTTAATTTGAAGAACAAGCTGTTTAACTGTGACTGTGAAAGAGTTATTGCCGTATGCTTGCATTGGTTTACTCAAGCTGTTAAAGTTAAAGCTGTTTAAATTACAGGAGCCTCAGTGTGATTTTCACTGGAGACATTTGTTTAAAACTTTACAGAGGTCAGATATCCACACAACTCAGATTACTGCAAGTTTAGAGATTGTAACTTCTTGTTATGTCAGTGCAAAGTTGTGACAGTAAAAATAGATGCCAAGATGGTTTGCTTGTAGCAAATTACAACTTCCTGTGCAGAATGGAGACAAGTATGTCATCATCCTGTCACTGTTGTGTCCATTTCTCTTTCACCTGCCACTGACAGGATGCTGTCATCGTGGCTAGACACAGTTAAAATAAACAGAAATAGTTGCATAGCGCCAGACACAAAAGATTTTCCTGCACAGGGAACATTGCAGAAGTGTGCTTGTTGGTTTTATATGTGATTTCTGTGTTTAAATTAATGCAACAGCTCTAAATTACGTTCAGTGTTAGAGTCACGTTTTGGGTTCAACGTTCTGTGTCTGCAGCAACGTGCTAACGCACGTTTGAACTCTTTGAACCTGTGTTTGAACTCTTACCCGTTTACTGAAAGACTGTTGATTTACAGAGTCAGCTACTGTACATGTCTAAAAATAGTCTGCGTGTTGTATTTAATATGTACGCATGTAAGGTTGAGGGTCATTAAAAGTGCTTACATGTCAGCTCTGCACATGCAACTCCCTCCAGCTTTAGATAAGCACGATCTGAGCGGAGCTTGAGGGAACACTGTTCTGCCTGCCATCTGGTCTCAGCACTTCCAACTATAACCACTTTTTCTGTCTGTCTGTCTCTCTCAGGGGTCCGCCCAGGTGAGGTGAGGACGAAGACGAGATCTACACCACCCCTATCCGTCCATCAACAGGCCAAGTGCCTCGGTGCCGGCCACCCGCAGGTCACCTCAACCCCAACAGGCGCCAAACAATAAAAGTCTTGACCCAGTGTCCCTCAGACAGCCTGCGCAAAGCAAATATTTGAGGCCATTATATCTAATTTMWCCAGGCAGCTGTCACCGAGAAGATCAGCGAAGGGTGTTGTGAGGAGATAAAAAAAGAAAAGAGAGAAGAAAAAGTGGGGGAGGAAAAAGTCACTCTTTCAAAGTGCTCCCTGCGAGTTATTTCTGCTGCGCTGTGGGCAGAGAGCATCTCATTTAGGAGAGCTTTTGGCTGACAAAAAAAGCACTTCCCTGTGCCCTGCCTTCCTCTCCAAATGCCTGTGTAAATACTGGATAGAGATATAAATTTGTCTGGGCCCAACAAAGAGACCGTTTGCTATCTATAGACAACGTTACAACAACTTGGACTCTGTGGTCACCTGAATTGCAGCTTATCTATTATCCTTCAAGGAGGATTCAAGAGCTGCGAGAACTGGAATGTGACCGTTGCCTCCTCTTAAAAACCTTTTCAAACACCCTCACTGGTTCAAATCTTCTCAGGGTCAAACAACAACTCTCTTAGGGAAACTGAGTCATCGGGCGGCTGCAGTTTTGATGCCTTTCCCTGCCCTGTGAGTCAACATGAAACCCCTAACACCGATTGGATCCCCCTCTCCACTGAGGCTCCTCAACAAGGGTCCAGACTACCTGCGCAGGCAGATTGATGGCGGTGGTCATGGTCGCTCGATCAGTGCAGTGGAGAGGCTGGAGGCAGACAAAGCCAAATATGTGAAGAGCCAGCAGGTGATCAACACCAAGCAGGAGCCTGTGCTGGTTCCCTGTGCGACGCCGCCACCACAGCCCCGGCGAGGTGTTGCCAGCCCCGGGAGCCTGACCCCTCATCTCCCCCCACGTCATTCATCCAACACCCCCTTCTCCACACTCTCCGGCTCCTTCACCTCACGAGATGAAGATGAAAACGATGACTCCAGAAAGGAGAACAGACGGACTTCTCTCGACACTGAGACACATAACAGGAGCAATGTTAACAAAGTGATGCCTCCAAGCCCCAGGACACCGGGGATTAACACCTTCGTAGCACCACACAGCGCCCCTGTGCTCAGAAGAAGCACTGGTAAACGCATGATGAGGCCCGACTCGCTCCTCATCTACCGTCAAAAGAAAGAGTGCAAAAGTCCCAGTGGTGCGGCAGTGGGAGAGAACAATAACATGGAGGTGAAGGGATACAGTTTTGTCCGCCGCCTATTTCAGGGCTCCATGAGGGAAAAGAGTAGCGGATGTGAAGGTAGAATTCAGAAAATGGTGATCGGTGAAGAAAAAGCACCATCACGGGATGGAGATTCCCGCATGTCTTGGACCAATGACAAAGACACAGTGGATGCTGGACCAGGGAGCAGGAGGTCGAGTAAAACTGACCAAGAACGCAGCCCGGGCTCGTTCCCTAGTCCTGGGTTCAGCTGCACACTTGAATGGACTAAGAATGGATTTACAAATAGTGCCAGGGAGGAGATAAACAATAGAATCACCAATGGAAACCACTCAACCGACCATGATGACGAGAATGACCCGTGGAAGCGGGCGTCTCCGCCACCAGTGCCCAGGAGGAAGTTTGGGCAGTTGCATCGCTCCAAGTCGGACCTGCGTCTGCGCTGCTCTGTGGCGTTATCAGAGCAGGAGAATTTCTTTGACTTTTGCGGGCTGGATATCGACATGATCGAGCGTCTGGGTCGGGAGAACTTCCTCTCTGGGGCCAGCTCCATAGACACGCTCTCATTGGCCCTCCGCAGCTGTGGCGGCTCGGAGCCCAGCGAGTTCTCCCGACACTCGGGAGACGGCCTGTTCCAGGAGGAGCTGGCCGAGCAGGTTCCCACTGGTGTGTCGATCATCGAGAGAAACGCTCGGGTCATAAAGTGGCTTTATGGGTGCAAGAACGCAGCTAGAGAGGGACCCAAAGAGTCGACTGTTTAAAACAAGGACAAGGAGCCATGTGCCATGGAGTGCTGAGAATCTGCCGGAGTTATTTTTAGCAAAACATGAGTTTTCTGTCTGAAATCATCTTGTGTCTTATTTTTTTTACCCTTTGTGGAGAAATTTGTCTCTGAGATGCACCGCAAACCAAAAGTAAAATTCACTTGAGCTTAAAAATGAACTGTCGGAATGGGCTGTAATTAACAGGCCACATTCCTCCAATGCAAAACAAAAGGGAAAAAAAGAATTTGCTTCTATTTTTGAGCCACAAGAGGCAAAGCGGGTGAAAGCGGCCGAGCTTTGCAGGGCGAAGCTGTCAGAGAAGTGGGACTTTTCTTTTCAATTTCAAACAAGAGTCAATGACGGTCGATCCAAGGTTTAGTTTGTTCCATGGCACATTGAAACCTTCACCCCTTCGTTCTTCCCCGACTCCAAAGAGACTTTTAATGAGAGGACAGCGACTGCTACTAGTTATCTCGTGTCAAATTGATATATTTTATTTATAGATCCTATGGAAGAAGTATTGTGTGGGTGAAGACTGACCTTACTGGCGAATGGAACCATTTATCCTTGCAAAATGTTTTTGTATCTGTATGTGTGTGTGTGTGTGTGTGTGTGTGTGTGTGTTTGTGGAGTGGACACCTTCGTCTTCTTCATGTGTAGCTTCTATATTCAGTTAATGACACAACCCTATTCACAACTGATCTGAAATCAGCCCTGTGACTCCTGACGAGACATCACACTCTTCCTTCAGTTAAAATGGAAAACCACTAAGCTATGTTTTGTTTTGTTTTTTCTAAACTGGAAAACTGTTGTGTGAGTGTGAAGTGAACCGTGAGTACCTCATTCGAAGCTGTCCCAGTTTAGTTTGTGTGTGTGTTGCTGTATTTTTTTTTTTTTTACTCCTTAAACGCAGGCGTTGGAACATGCGAGGCGCCCCTGTGGGGTTTGTTAATGCACTGAACTGGACAGGGAGAGAGGACATGAAACATATGAGATATACAGAGATTCAACACATGTAACGTTAAACACTGAACTGGATTCAAAGCAGCACCTGCACCTTGGAGGACGAGGAGCCGCGTCCTGTTCATCTCATCGTTTTCAATTCAATATTTTAAAAGAGGATCAATTCTCACGCTGTCCAATAATCACTCGTGACACAGTTATTGGTTAACACAGATAACCCTTCATGCCTGTTCCGTTATAGATCTGCAGCTGAGAAAACAAACATAGAAACATAGAGAATTGGAATCTCACAAAGGAAGTCTCACAACTCAATAAATACTTAAAACGATGTTAAAGAAAAATCCTGGATCTGGCCCATGGACCAAATTTGACGTGTTCTTCCTTCAGTCATGCCCCGCCCACCTTTCCACAAAATCTAAAATCGGTTCAGTAGTTTTTTGATTACAAACAAACGCTGACGAAAACATGACCTCCTTGGCTGACGTAATCGACTCTCCAAAAGTCAACTTTAAGTCATCAGCCCCTCACTGCCAAATGCTTTAGGATGTTACCATCTGGCCGTTTACAGATGTTTAACCTCCCCAGCTGGCTCCGTCAGCCTGTTTCCCATCAAAACAAGCAGGGGAGGCTGAATCCTCTCTGATAACAGATCCTACCTCACTCCATCCATCCTTCAGGGATCGTCACTATCTCAGCTAAAGGTCATTTCCATCGCTTTCCCCGGAGGATGCCACTGAAATATGAACTTAGGGGTCTGCTGAGGTATGTGGAGGTTAGACTGAGAGCATCACTGAACCCAAGGGAACATTATATCTGTGTATGCGATAAATGAACACAATTATTTGTTGCCTTTATACTGTATATATTTTTTTCTGTATAAAATCCTTTAAACTGGACTAGATTTATATCTCCTCCCTGTCCGAAACACATTTTGGTGCATGTTTACAAAGTGGCTCCGTAACTTCTGAATCTCATTTTTATTTCATGTTTATGACGGATTTTGATTTTATTCCAAAGAGATGTGTGTATGACGTACACAGCAAATAAACACAAATGAAGTAATATATGTGTGAAGGACATTTTTTTTAATTGTCTTCCTTTTGTTGCTGGTTGATTTTATTGCATCTTTTACGACACGTGTTTTTATTCATGATGCTTAGAAATAATAATCATCATACGCACTTCATACATGTTGGATTTGTGTTGTGTTAGAAAACAGTCAAAGAGCCAGAGGAACAGACTGTGATTGTGATATGTTGTCTAATCTTCTTGGAGGGTGGTGGTCGACTGACTCAGCGTCGTGATGGTGTCTCGTCCTTGACTTTTTCTTCACCGCATCGCGTCTCATTTTTCACATTATCTCAAGTGGCTGCCTGTTAATCCTTTTAGCATTCCCCGCATGCTGCGCTGCTGAGTGAGTTGCAACAGGTTGTGTTTATAGACAACGAGGCCTGTGTGCGGCCTGATGCTGTGTCTACGCCTTCGAGGAGCGGACCCTCTTCTCCACGCCGTCTGCAGACGCCTCCTGACACCCTTTGTCTTTTCTTTTTTTTCTCTCCTTCTCAGCCCTGACTCAGCTCTTGTTTCCTCATGCACCAGCTCACAGTGGATTCAAACACTTAGGGAAAGTCTAAGCAAATGACAAATGTCTCCCTGCGGGCTGGAAGTCAGAGCATTAATCTCAAACTGAAAATATCGTCAGGTTGATCCATCGGTGCCCGACTGTGGGACTGAAGATTTTTTTTAAAAAGACGTTCCTGGTCTGAATACCAGCTTGGGCTCATCTGGATTATTTCAGGGGAATATCTGGACTTCAGCGCACGTCTGAAAGCATCTTATTAAGTCTTTTCTAGCTTATTTCAGCAGAAACTCTTTATTACAGATGTGAGTTACAGAATATATCCACATCTGTAAAACCATCACATGTGCTGTGCGGCTTCAAGTTGTTTCCATTATTCACCGTCTGTGGAGCAGCTCCACGATTCATCTTATTGAGCTATTTAGATGAAAAACTAAAGTTAAACTTAACAACGGGGGAAAAAAACGTGATTTCTATTTTGAGGACTTTCCCTTTAAAGAGGTTTGAGGACATTTAAGGACACGAACATCTGTAACATTCTCAAACTGAACACGATTTCAAGTCTGTAGTTTTAAATAGCAACACACAGTGTACAATAACTGCATGCAAATACACACACATCCGATTTTTTTCTCCCATTTCCCATTTCTCCCACCTTCTGTCAGCAGAACAACACAACAGCCCTCCTGTGTGTGTGTGTGTGTGTGTGTGTGTGTGTGTGTGTGTGTGTG